AGAATATTTTTTTTTAAATGTTGGTAAAGATGTACTAGAATACCACTATTATTGTTCCAACTGTTATCAGTTGCTTCAAACCAAAACAACTCTCTGCACTAGTTGTCAAGAAAAGACAAAAGTAGCATATTTTATAGAAATACCATTAGTGCATCAACTGCAAGCCCTTTTTCAATGGCAGGGCTTTTATGATAAACTACAATATAGATTTAATAGACGCAAGAGAAATCAACACAACATTGAAGATATATATGATGGCTATGTTTATCAGCAACATATTGAATCAGGTTTCCTTCAAAATCCTAACAATATATCTTTTATGTGGTATTCAGATGGTGTGTCAGTGTTTAACTTCATTGCCAACAAATTCAATATATGGCCTCTATTTCTAGTCATTAATGGATTGAGCTACAGGGAAAGAGTGAAAAAGCAGAATATAATTTTGGCTGGCATTTGGTTTGGCACAAAAAAGCCTCAAGTTAACATATTTTTGGCACCATTCCACTCAAAATTTGATGAGTTTTGCAGAGATGGCTACTTGATTAAACTTCCTGATGGGCGCACTATTCGTGTTGTGTGGAACGTGTGATATGCCTGCAAAAAGTTGCTTTTTACATTGGGAAAACTATAATGGATTCTGGGGTTGTTTCCGATGTTACATTAAAGGCAGAAGGTTTGAGCAAGGTGAGTCAGGAGTTCACGTATACCCTTATTTAAATAATGTTCCCTTGAGACAGAATGAACATGTTGAAAGTCATGCAAGAGTGGCTATTGCTGCTGGGTTGCCATGTTATGGCATCAAGGGATTGTCGCTTTTGTATCGAATGCTTCTTAATCTTGTGCGTTCTACTGGAATTGACACAATGCAGGGCATATCAGGAATTTGTAATCTTCTGCTTGAGCTCTGGTTTGATAAAAACTATCAAAAATTGGAGTTTTCTTTGCATCATTTAAAAGAAATTGTTGACAAGAAATTGTTATCTTTCAAGACCCCTACCTTTCTGAACAAATTTCCACGATCAGTTACAGAGCTTGCATCCTGGAAATCTCTGGATTATAAGGTTTTTCTTCTTTACTACTCTATTCCAGTTTTGTTAGGTATTATGCCTGATCACTATATGGAGCATCATATGTTACTTGTGTCTGGGATATATCTCCTAAGCCAGCCAAGTCTATCATTAGAGCAAGTTGATCGTGCCTCTAATTTACTTAAAAAGTATGTCAGATATTTTGAACGATTGTATCATGTACAATTCATGGGTATCAACATTCACCAGTTGGCACATTATGGTGAAGTTGTGAGAGATCTTGGGCCCCTCTGGGTGTATTCCTGTTTTTTTTTCTAGAAGATCTCAATGGCAAAATTTGCCATTTGTTTCATGGAACAAGATATGTAGGTGTCCAAATAGCATCAGCTGCCACCATTGTCCAAAAGCTTTCTTTTGTAATTGATGAAATGAATGAGTCTGCTGTGAAGACATTTTGTGAAAACTTGCGAAAGACAAGGAAGACATACAAAAAGTTGGAGGACATTGCCCCTGGATTTTTTGTAGTGGGAACACTTTCAGCAATGCCATGCCCTCCTTTAAATGTTATTTTCAGTGATTTAAGAATAAGAGGGGGTCATTTCCAGGTTTTTACAAGATTGTGGCGGAAAGGAATCTTGTTTGTTGCTGAGTGTTACACCAGAGCAACAAAGCGTCAATCATCCTTTGTGACATTTAAGAAAGATGAGGAGATACACTTGGGTTCAATCAAAAGTTTTGTTCGGTGGTCAAATTGTCAGTGCAACAAGAAATGTGTGTGTCAACCTGCTCAATATTTTTGTCTCATTCAAGAATACCAGAGATTACCTTGGGAAGCCCATGAAAGTGCCAATGACATTAGTTTAGCCTATGTAAATGTTGTGCATTCAACACCAAATGTTGTTGCTGTGCCTGTATCAAATCTCATTACCCTTTGTTTCCATTTAGTTATCAATCAGGGCCTTGAGTTTGAAAGACAATATATAATTCAGCGTGTCAATGATCTCGAAGATGTATAATGAATAACTTTCCAATTAAAACTTTCCATCTATTGCAAATTTTGTTATGTCTGTTCTGGCTTTGGTAACTCAAAATAAATCTGTCCTTATATCAAAATATGCAACACATGGTATTGGCATGTATGTTACTTTAATTAAAAGTATGCTATGATTAGATTATATTCCATTCTGCAACAAAATAAATTCCATTAAGTATTCCAATTTATTTTTTTAAGTTATATTTTTTTTACCATGTCAATTGTAGGTGTGTTTCATTAGACAATTATGATGTACACAATTTACGACTTCAGCATTTGAAGAGATTGGTTTGTAACAGCATGCACATTCTTTTGGTGTGAAATACCGCTTAGCACTAGTAAATTGATATTAGTTTTGTCACAAACTATTGTTTATTAGATATACCTTGTACATTTCTAAAGTAAGTTAGGTCTCAGAATGAGACACAATACATTGAAACTATTTGCAAACACTAACAGATATCTAAAACAAGGCACAGAGAAAACATTTCGTATTACTGCACAAGTAGTGCACAAGAAACAGCCCAGAGGCTTTTGCCAGGTTTCGAAGAGATTAACTGGTAGACGTGTACATTATCAAACTTAACAATGCATTATAAGAAGTTACGACGTCAAAAGGAAATCACAACCTCAGTATGCTGTTTGGTCATGCCTTGATTTCTATTACATATCCAAAGTATTACTATAATTCATTGTATTTGTCACGACAGAGAATAAAAAGAACAAAAAAACACAGATGAAATTTTACAATTCCAAGGTCTGCCGTTATTATGCATGTTCTCGAGTCTTCTCCAGCACTAACAAAAACTCAACTAATTCTACAATGTCTTTCAACCTATTTCTGTAAATCAATAACACAATAAGTAGTTAGTTCAAGAAAGACCAATATCAACCTGTTTCAAATTAAAAGTGATCTTCCAGATCTGTCATGACAGCCGTTCAAGATCATGACAATATTATTACAAAGTTAATCAGAGATATCAAAAACGACGGGTTAGCAATAGTAACGATAAACGAGCTCTTCCTTCAAGATAATGAGGTTCAGGTATCATCTGTAAGTAATTTAGACCATGTAAGACAAAGGAAAACATAACCAAGAGTAACCACCAAAGTTTATATCGCAAGTCCTTGTTTCATTACTTGACGCAACAACTTTCAACTTTGATTGCACCACACGAAATTGGTAGCAACGCATTTCGTACCTGCGACGACTTTTGTCTCACTGTTTGTTTAAAGATGCAAACAAATACACAAAGTGTTGTTGTTAACCAAATAGTTTACTTTATTCTGCTTCACGCCGTGTTTGTTTTCGAGTGACCTGACGACGTACAGGTGGCGCTGCAGAAGCGACCCAACCGCGAACGTCGTGCGGGTAGGGCCAACCAGTGGCGCCAAGGTGGCCAATGGGCGAACTTCTAGCGCATTGAGCGATCCTTTCGCGAAAAACTGCAGCGAACCTTAGCGAACAACTCGCGCACTGGAGCATACAAGAGCGAACGCGGGCGAACTGTAACGAACCATGGGCGGAATACTCGGGAGGACCTTGGCGAATATCCCGCGTACATGAGCGGACCCGTGCCGAACTTGGACGAACTATGACGACCCTTCGGTGAAATATCTGGGCGAACCTTAGCGACCCAGGCGCAGACCGCGCGCGTACCGCAGCGATTCAAATGCAATCGCTTCGCCACCCAAAAGCGTACAATTCATTTAAGATCGGGCAGCAATAAAACTATTTGCTGTGCCAGCAAAATTATCCCAGGTAAATGAGGGTTATATATGCTTCATATATAATTATATATATTCTGTATATGGTAATATATGTCCTTATATATGACCACATATATGACCATATATTAATTACTATATATGGATTATATTTAATTGTATATGGGCTTATATATTACCATATATGGGTCCATATATCACCATATATGTTTCGATATACAGCCATATATAGCACTATATTAGCATATATGCTTGTATATGACCATATATGGCTGTATATCGAAACATATATGGTGATATATGGACCCATATATGGTAATATATAAGCCCATATACAAGCATATATGATCATATATGACCATATACAACTATATATGTGGGCATATATGTCGTCATATATAAAGCATATATCGCTGTATATGATCATATACAATTCATATATGGCCATATACAATTCCATTTACCTGGGATTTGCTGCGGCAACAAAATTATTTGCTGTGTCGACCAAATCATTTGCAGTGTCAGCAAATTATTTGCTGTGTCAGCAAAATTATTTGCTTTGCTACGCTCTGCCACTCAAGGCAAGGCCTACATATGACTTATGTAACCTAATTTAAAGCACACTCACTGAAAATGAAAGCTATATCATCTGCTTCCACGTTAGCGCAAGCTTAGGTTTTTCCTACTTTTCGGACCAACCCCTATTTCCTTGTTACCCCCTTTCACCCCCTTAGGGGTGGTTGCCAGGATTTGCACCAGGCGTGATGTTGTCCGGAGTGACCTGTAATATACCCTGAAATTTGTAGACCTCTAGTTCATCTCCTTCCTCTTACACGGACGACAGACGGACGGCCGGATGGACACGAGAGCGGTTGCATAAGCCCGATTTAATGCTTTTCTAAAAGCAGAAGGGCGGGATAAAAAACGAAACAAATCTTACTCTTCGTCGCCCATTGCACAGGGGGAAATCTTTCACACGTTTTCCAATGAGAAAGTTGGGTTAGGCTAGTTCAATTTTTCAAATTTTTTCGACCCCTAAGATTTTTTTTTCGAAAAAGCATTTTTTTTTTTCAATTTTTCCGGAAAAAATCCAACTTGGCACACAGTACAAAGTTTCTGAAATGCACCGCTCCTGTATATATTCTGTCACATCCGTTACTGTTTTCTGTTTTACAGTATGTCAACATTCTTGTAATGTTGCTCTCTTGCAGGACAGGCATTGCGGGACTCCACTGAGTCGCTCCGTACCGGCCTCTACTTCGCTCCATGGCTCGAGGAGAGTGGGCGAGCTCGACGCGACCGTGCGCGATTCATGTTGGGTGCTGACTGCAAGCCTCGACTCGTCGCCTTAAGTGGTCTACTGACTTTTAACGCCCCCTTTTTTCTTGACGTTATCCACCACTGGTTCGGCATTCTAAACGTGTTTCTATCCTTACACAGCAATAAAGCTAATCTTTGAACAAGTCCACCCGTCAGAAACTGGTTCACTACATATTTCAATTTGAAGGTGGTGATGACAAGTGACTGACTTTGCCGGCTCGGAAGAATGCAAGTTTTCTCCAACGGCTTCAGGGATCTGAAAATAAAAGAGGGGACACTGAATCATGAAATTAAAAAGTTGCTGTCCATTTAACTTATTTGATTTTCTTACGACGCACTTCTTGCATATGTCACTGAGAAAAACTCGTGCTGGTTCTTGGAGGATGGGGTCCGACAATCCTATAAAGCGATTTCTCGACATTCGCAAGTCCCCACGGTGGAGGCAGAGAAGGTGGCGGCAGGTTTCTTCTCGTGGTTCCAGAAGAATTTCGACAACTCGATACCTTAGACTAAAAGGCACGCAGTTCAGCCACCCGTTTCGAATGGCACGCAATTCAGCCGCGCGTTTCGAAAGACACGCAGTTCAGCAGCGCGTTTCGAAAGACACGCAGTTTACCGCTCTAGAGATAGGAACTGCGTGTCTTTCGAAACGCGCGGCTGAACTGCGTTCTTCTTAGTGTAAGGTATCAAACTTTGGGCATTAACACCCCAGTCGAAGCCAACACTATGGCCTGTTCTCACAACCTTCACTGTAAAGAAGAGTTGTTGAAAAACAACACTCTTACTGATGACGGTGTTGTAGACAAACAACAATGTTACGAGAACAATAAACGATATTGCAAAACAGCAATGTTTGTTGCAAAACAGCAAAGTTTGTTGCAAAACAGCAATGTTTGTTGCAAAACAGCAATGTTGTTCCGAAACAACTTTTGCTGTTCCTTAACAACTTTCATTGTTTCTGAACAACTTTCGTTGCGGCTAAACCGCATTTGTTGTTTCCGAACACCTTTTGTTGCTGCTGAACAACTTTTGTTGTACTTGGACAGTTGTTTTTTTCTCCGCCTGAACAACTTTTGTTGTTCTTGAACAACTTTTGTTATTCTTGAACAACTTTTGTTGTTCTTGAACAACTTTTGTTGTCCCTGAACAACTCTTGTTGTTACTGAACAATCGATGTTGTTCTACAACAGCCCAATGCCGTTATGTAACGACTTTTCCTATTAAACACTCAGCGACAAATTTGTCGTTATTTCAACGACATTTTCTTAACAGTGTTCCACGGTGGAGAGACACACGTTGGCGACACTAGCCTACACCCAGAAAACGGTTCCGTTGAACTGACGCCAGACCTTCAAATCAAAGAAAATTGTATTATTGAACAGATTAATTTACAATTGGCGTCGCCAAGATTACCGCAGCGCGGCGCGCGGCCGCCCCGCGTACTACTCAGACGCCTCGGCTCGCTGGCTGCCTCCGTAGGTAGGCGTTGCGATGTTTGTACACACTTGTTCTCGGGCTCATCGACAATGAGTCAAATTTTGAGCATTGTCGATGTAAGTAAAGCTACCGAGGGCTTTATTAGGCCCATGAGGGAGGGTGAAGAGGTGTGTTTTAAGTGATAGGTGTAGGCATTAATGAAAGAAAAGGTGACGAACTTCGTGTACATGCCCTCGTCCTTCGGACTATCGGAGATAATTAATTTTTTCCCGTCTCAGTATGATAATTTGTGTGTTTCTCATGCATTTATCGTGGGATTTTTCCTCATTTGAGGACTGTTTTTGCTGTTTTTGGATTCTGTGTACAAATTTCAGCCCAGACTTCACTTTGTAAAGCAGTTACCCACGAAAACCTGTGGATTTGTGAAAATCAGGATAACTTTACAATACTGCTGTAATTTTACAGTCCTACCATTATTCCACAGCTGTGTCAATAAATTACAACATTCCTCGCAAAACTACAGCTCCAACCAAAATCGTGTTTTACGGATAGGGTTGCTTTTTTCCCAAAAGCCTGTAAAATGTTTAGCTGTAAAATTACAATTACAATTTTTACAGTGAGGGGCTGGCAGGGAGGGGCTGGCAGTCGCGGACGGGTACGGGCGACAAGCGGGCAAGGCGCGGGGCGCAGGCAAGGGGGGGGGGGGGGATATACAGCCATATATAGCACTATATTAGCATATATGCTTGTATATGACCATATATGGCTGTATATCGAAACATATATGGTGATATATGGACCC